CCACCAACACTGGGAGTTTCAACTGGTCCAAATAAATCCATGTGAATCAGATTTAAAGGACAAGTAGAAGGATCTCCAGCTATGGGTTTGAATGAGGTCTTCACTTGTTTGCCTTTCTGACAAGCACTGCAGAGGGTCTCCTTCTTGTAGACAATGTCAGGCAGACCATCTACAATGTGTTCCCTTGCCAGTTTGTTGATGGTTTTGAAATTCAGGTGGCTAAGCTTCTTGTGCCAGTCCCAGCTTAGCTTTGAATTGTCCTTTGCTATCAGACAGGTTCCATCTTTTGCTGTTTGCCAGTCAACAACATAGATGTTCTTCCTTCTTTTGGCTGTAAGAACCACTTCTTTGGTTGTCTCATGCTTGACATAGCATAAGATCTTGGTGAATTCAACTGTGTAGCCTTTGTCACAGAATTGGCTAGCACTCAGCAAGTTGAACTTCAGACCCTTGACATATGAGACATCATCAATGATTATCTGGTTCTTGATCAGCTTTCCTCTTCCCTTTGTTTGACCATCCTTGTCATTTCCTCCAAAAGTGACTCGGGGTCCATTGATTTTCTGGAACTCTGATAGGCAACTCTTGTCACCTGTCATGTGCCTGGAGCATCCACTGTCAATATACCATTCTTGTTCTGAGATGGCTCCAGCACACAGTTCCTGCAAGATTAAAAGGAAGATTTAGGTACCCAAGCAATGTTGGGTCCTGGGGGGTAATGCAGTCTTGGTAGTTGGTACCATTTTGGTCTCATCAACTGAAACCTTGGTGGATGGTACCCATTGTCCACCTGGTAGTCGTAGTAAACAGATGTATGATTCACTTTGGGCAGATGCTTGTGAGGATCATGCTTTCTGTTTGCATACTTTTGCATAGCCTTCTTTGTTGGAAAGAAGTCCCATATGCTATCAAGATCAGAGGAGCGCTTAACTTTAGGCTTCTGAGGTTGACCAGACAACCTCTTCTGCCTATAGTTAATCTTTTCTTGATATCTGCCTTTCTGATAGCAGTTTCTGATACCATTGTCATGAGATTGTCTGATTGGATTAGGGCTTTGATTATTATTTTTCTGAAAACTCTTCCTTTTGTTTGAGTTTCTGCCAGGTTCATTAGTTTTCAATCTTTGTTTTGGTTTGGCCTTTAGAGTTTGTTTCTCTGGTGTGACCTTCTCATGAACAACTTTAGTACCAGAAGTACTAGCATGGCAAATGGGACTCAGAGTCTGTGGCACTATGACCTTTTTAGCCTTAGCAACTTTGGTGCTAGGCCTTACAGAAGGCTCACCAGACTCTGGTTCAACATATCCAAGACCAGAGGTGAAGTTATGAGAGTCACCAATATTCTTCATGGAAGATTGCATCTTCAGAAGACTATTATATCTACTCTCAAGTTCCTCAATGTCTCTTATTCTTTTTAGAAGAGACTCATTTTCAGCCTTCAGTTTATCTCTTTCCTCAGTTAAGAGATTAAGTTTGCACTCAGTCTCTTTCCTTAGATCAGAGATATCAACTTTCAGCCTACTGTTCTCATCTTTAACAAAAGAGTAAGTGGCTTGGATAGTTTGGAACTCTTCCCAAAATGATGACATTGGATCATCATTTAAGGCTGTGCCTACCGAAGAAGAAACAGAGTCAGAAGTAGAGCATACCTCATCATCAGATTGTGCCATGAGGCAAAGGTCTTCAGTTTCTGCATCCAAGCAGCAGAAAGCTTCATCAGAGTCAGAGTCTGAACTGGACTCTGATTCAGAGAGTGGATCTCTCTCAGCTTGCTCTGAGACGAATGCTCTTCTTCTTCTGTGTTGATCATCTGGTTTCTTTTCTTCTTCATGTCCTTGTTTCTTGGACACTCTTGGATAGGGGCAGTTTGCCTTGAAGTGCCCAGGCTGTCTGCAGTTATAGCAGAGGTACTCTCCATTGCTTTCAGAAGATTTGGTCTTCTGATGTGGTCTTCTGATGGAAGATGGACTCCTTCCATCTTTCTTCATGAATTTTCTGAATTTTCTGGCAAAGGCAGCCATATATTCATCAGATAGAAGAGTTGAGGGATCAAAGTTTGTAGCCTTAGAAGTGCTGGCAGTAAGAGCAGTGGTGGTCCTTTCATCAGGAGCTTCCTCCTTCTCTTCATGCATCTCAAACTCATAAGCCTTGAGATCAGAAATGAGTTTCTCAGTGGCATAGGTCTTGATATTCTTGCTTTCTTGGACAGCAATCACCTTCATCTTCCAAGCTGAAGGCAGTCCCCTTAGGATCTTCATGTTGACTTCTTTGATGGTGAGCTCCTTTCCAAGCTCAGAAATTTCACTGATGAGAATCAGCAATCTCTCATGCATCTTAGCAATGCATTCTTCTGGCAGAAGTTTGAAGTCATCAAACTTCTTCATTGCAATGGTTAGCTTGTTATCTCTTTCTTGTTCATCTCCTGCTCCTATCTCATCAAGCTTGTCCCAGATTTCCTTAGCAGTCCTGCATTTCTTTATTCTATTGAAATATCTTTCATCAATAGCTTTGTAGAGAATGTCCTTGGCTATATTATCTAGGTTGTACTGCTTTTTCTCTTCCTTGGTCCATTCTGACCGAGCTTTCTCAATCATCTGAGGTAGATTGTTGTCTAAGGTATGCGCAGGGTTGACCTTCATGAATTGGATAAAAGGTCCATTCTCCAAGACTTCCCACATTTCATCATGCAGGGCACAAAGATGAGCTTTCATCCGGATCTTCCAGTCATCATATTTCTGATCTGTGAACATAAGATGCTTTGCAAGAGAGTTATCCATAATAACAAATAAATAGAGGCTAAGAACAAGTGGATCTTTGTTCAGAGAATAACCTAAAAGATTACAAGAACAAGGAGGCTCTGATACCACTTGTTGGTCCCGTTTAATAGGGTAATCAGTCTAGAGGGGGGGGGGGGGTGAATAGACTGATTGATTTTTCAAACTTTCTCTAAGTTCAAAATGACTTATCAGAGAATGTCTGATTCTGGTGGCAGAGAAAGGCTGGTTCTGATATCAGAACTGGCCTTGGCAGCGGATTCTGATCTGTCCGGGTAGCCTCAGAAATACTAAGGCAAATGCCTTTCTGATAACTCTGAAAGCAAGATCTGCTGAACACAGATTCCAAGTCTTAGAGTTACCAGTTAATATCCTAAGTGCAGAAATGTAAATTGCAGTAAAGTAAATGACACCGGATATTTTTATAGTGGTTCAAGGAACAACTCGTTCCTCTAGTCCACTGTTCCACTAGCTTTGAAGTAGATCGGTTACAAAGCTTAGTCCCTAGCACTTAAGAAGTTCTCCACGCCTTCTTCAAGTCTAGTTGCCACCCAGGATGCAGTTCCACGTCCTGATGGCTGGCCCTTTCACTCAGCTTCCCGGAAGTATCACCACTTCACTACTGCAGTTACTTGGACGCCCTTCTTTTCAGAAGATCCTTTGAAAAACAGAGTTTTTCCTCCAACTTGCTTCGTCACAAATGATGTTTGATGAAGTTCTTGAAGAGTTGAAGAACAGGATGAACTTTGCTCGTTGTTGGGGATGAAAGATTTGGAGTTTGAATCTTCCCAACGTTGACTTTTCTTGTAGAGTGTTATGAAGGTTGAATCTCAAGAAGTATGTTCGGAAATGGATCAAGAGTTCTTGGCAAAGTTAGTTTTCCAGTTCTTCGGTGAGTAGCTTATATACTGAGGTTGTCTGCCCGTTGGAGGAGGAGACAACTGCATTAAATGTGCGTACTGTTGACTTGACCGCCGTTTTGGAAGGTTTCTATTTTTATAATATATCTTCCCGGATTCCTTGGTCAATCATTTGCAATCAATCCTTCAGCGTATCAGGCTCATTTAATGTGCATTAAATGCTTTCCTTTCATGCACAGTCTTCTAGCCGTTGGATGTTTTACCCGTTGGATTCATAGCTGTTGGATGTTGCTTGAAATCTTCTAAGTGTTAGTCGGGCTCTGATCAGGCTCTTCTGATGTGTTGGATTCTGATGGCTTTCTGATGAGTTGAGTTCTGATGGCTTTCTGATCTCGGATAGAGCTCTAACTCTGACTCTGATATGTCCGCTGATGAGTACCTTTGATTTGTAGTTCTCATCGGTTATCAGATGTCCAAGTTTATCAGCAATTCTCATGGTGCAACTCTGATGGACTTCTGCTAAGAGAACTCTGATGGAGCAGTTCTCATAGAGCAAGTCTGGTCGAGCAGTTCTGATGCACTTCTGATCTGATCCAAAATAGAGCAACTCTGATCGTCGACTACACTAATACTTACAATTGAAAAAACTAATACATAAAATCTAATTTGGGGGTAATCTAACTTTCTAATCCTATAGCATCATCAAAATCTAATTACATTTATTCCTTACAGTACCATTCTTATTTCATTACCTTGTCTTTTTTTTTTTTTTTTTTTTTTTTTGAAGAGCAAATAATTGTAATCGAAAAAGCCCATGCCACATTCGAAGATTAAAACAACAAATTCTAACAGGGACAACCCAAATTCCCAAAGTCCAAACAGCATTCGGTCGTCACCCAAAAGCCTGCTGCTCAACTGCCCTGTGAACCGGGTCTTGTGGCAGTATACAATAATTCAGAAAAGGGGAAATAGGTCCCCAGGCTGGCAATGTACAAAAACTGTAGTGCACAAGATGCTGAAACCTAAAAGTAGGTGGGCCGCCCCTTGCTGTCCCGGCCCCCCCCCCCCGCTATTCCGTAGAAGATTCCTAGTCACAAGTCGTTCCCTGGCTCTCCTGGTGGCCGCCTGGCCGGTGCTGAAGACGAAAGGTACCCCGGACTTCACCCCTATTGACGGTCGTAGTCCCCGTTCGTTCATCTGGTGGCCATTAAATTATGTGATGACACCTTCTCCGGCATACTGAACCAAAGAAGAGTTACCTAAAGCCAATGAACCATGGACGCACTGCCAATCCCCTGAAACCTTTCTCCAGGAGGTCGTACCCTGTGAAGATGCTGTTGGTTGTGAACCCCATCTTGACCAGTCCAATCTTGGACCCCTGGTCATCTAACATCGCGGATTGCCGGAGGTCTCCAATCCTTCAATCCGTCGCCAAGACCCGATCGCCGTCGAATATTGCCTTCAAACATATGACAAATCCTTGTTCGTCGCTCCCCTGTAGTCCATCTCCACCTTGGAGTCTTACAAAAGATCCTTCACATGACCAAAATGAAATCCGCCCTTCGACTCCGGCTAAATAACCCATTTCCTTGATGTTCACCCCCGATACCCGTAAATAGCCCAGAAAATAATGAGATCGAAAATGATAATGAAAAAGATCCTCTGGCGGACTCGCCGGCGATGTCGCCGGTAGAGCCGCCAGAAATATCTCCTCCTTTCTTCCTCTCTCTATCCAAGTTTTTCATTACCTTGTCATTCTCTTGAGAATCTTCTTCAGAGCTTTCATTCTCATTGTCAGGAGTGCTACTTTTCTGATCACTCACATCCTTTATTGCTTCATCCTGTAACAAATATTAACTCCATTTTATATATGTACTTAACCTTTGGTATTTAATGCCATATAAATAGGAAATAAGTGTCTTCTATGCAAATTACAATTTTTCTTTCATTACCTTGTCATTCTCCTGAGAATCTTCTTCAGAGCTTTCATTCTCATTGTCAGGAGTGCTACTTTTCTGATCACTCACATCCTTTATTGCTTCATCCTGTAACAAATAGTAACACCATTTTATATATGTACTTAACCTTTGGTATTTAATGCCATATAAATAGGAAATAAGTGTCTTCTATGCAAATTACAATTTTTATTTCATTACCTTGTCATTCTCCTGAGAATCTTTTTCAGAGCTTTCATTCTCGTTGTCAGGTGTGCTACTTTTCTGATAACTCACATCCTATAACAAATATTAACTTCATTTTCTGTATGCACTTAAACCTTTGGTATTTAATGCCATATAAATAGGAAATAAGTGTGTTCTATGCAAATTACAATTTTTATTTCATTACCTTGTCATTCTCCTGAGGATCTTCTTCAAAGCTTTCATTCTCGTTGTCAGGCGTGCTACTTTTCTGATCACTCACATCCTTCATAGCTTCATCCTACAACAAATATTAACTTCATTTTATATATGTACTCAACCTTTGGTATTTAATGCCATATAAATAGGAAATAAGCTTCTCATATGGAAATTAACATTTTTATTTCATTACCTTGTCATTCTCCTGAGAATCTTCTTCAGAGCTTTCACTCTCATTGCCATCCGTGCTACTGTGCTCATCACTGATATCCTTCATAGCTTCATCTTCCATGTCCTCTTTGTCCTTCATCACTTCCTTCTTTCCTTTTGTCTTTGATATTTCCTTCACAAGACTCAGAATCTTCTTTAGCATTGCATCTTGATTTATTTTCATTTCTTTTATCTCTGCACGCATATTGGCAATTTCTTTGGACTGCTTGGCTAGTGTCTTCATGATTATGCCCTTTCCTGCCTTTGACTCATCCCCACTTTCATTGGACCTAGATTCTTCACTATCAACCACCTTACCTTTTTTTCTCAACACTCGCCTACTGCACTCTCCTTTTTCTTTCTGTCCTGCCTTTTTTCTTTTATTGTTTCCTCCTGAATTTGCTCTCTGTATTTCTTTTCCTTTTTTTCCTCTTGCATCCTTTTTGCTCTGCTTTGTGTTCTTTATGGTTGCATCAATTCTCAGGTCCTTTGCTTCATTGCTTTCCCCTCCTACAAGTCCTTGGATTCTTTGGATCTCATATGCACTTGGAACTATTTTTGTCCACTCAAACTGTAACATTGGCAATTAAACTTAGATAAAAAATATATGAATTATTCACTGTATGGAAATGTAACTATTTACATAAATAATTGTGCATAATTTAATTGAAATTACCTTGTCATTACTGAAAATGTGTTCACAAAATTTTTGTATTGATGGTTTCTTGTGAAAAGCCCACTTCAATGTCCTAGGAATGACATTTTCTTTGTCTTTTATAACATAGCATAGCCTTTCATTAGCCAATATTGGAAAGGTCTCGAAGGCCCATATTTGTATTGCTTGCATACAAGCTGTGAACGCCACTCTTTTACGTGTGCAGAACTGAGTGCTTCTGCGTTGTTCTTCATATTTGCGACTAGATCATCCCAGACATCATCACCCCAAGGGTAAGAATTGAATGCATCTAAGTCTTGTACCAAGTTAATATATTTCCCTGGCAAGCGAATCGCGTATTGGTTTCCAAACAATCCATGTGCTAAAGCATAGAGTAGTACTAGTTTAAGACCATCATTCTCTTCTGTTCCGGGATTGTTTCTGTTGTACCTCTCCAAAGCTTGAACAATATCCTGCCTCACTATTACTTCTTTGGTACCAAAATACCTTCTGCACATATCCCCACCCACGTTATCAGATACTGCCGGTTTCACCCCATTTATCTTCAAACCGGTGACTATTGCCAAATCTGCTTTTGTAAAGCTTATCAGACTATTGGCTACATGGAATCTTATAACATCCTTTTCAACGTTACCATTGAACTCCTCAATATAGTTTGCTACGAAACAAATGTTGAGTTGCCCACTTAATCGTGGCATATGTTCTATATCTAGAATCCAGCCTAAAACTGAACTTCTAAAAAGTGTTATTTCTTCTTCATTCAACTTTTCCTTGATTCGCTTACCAACCTCACTCAAATTGCAAAAGCAATTCACACGCATTTTTTCAAACTTATCCAGCAATCCTCTATAACATGTCCTCGTTATAGTCTGCAGTAAACACTTAATTATATCAATATTTCCATGTAGATTTACATTTGAAGTACAGTAAAAAAAGATGGTATTAGTGCACATGATTTAAAAAAGCTATTATAATTAACATGTCATTTAATGTCATCCTTTTCATGGTATATCCATTTCAGATGACATTCAAGACAATTCAGTTGTATTAAAAAAGAAGCATATATGTATACGTTTTACAGTTTCAATATAATATGACATTTAATAACAAATGTAGGCATTGTAACACATTAACCCACTACTCTACATACCATCATTTTTATTTTACATATTGACATCACTATTTAAGATATCTTTTAATGACATAATTTTTATCATTATTTCCATTTCAGATGAGATTCACCATAATACTTACTTTGAAATTGTGCTTCACCTTCTATGAATTGAAAGCATCACTATATATATATATATATATATATATATATATATATATATAGAATAGAGATCAAATACAAACTCTTCTTAATTTACAAAGTACAAACTCATCTTGATCATCCGATGAGTTGATCCAAAGGACATAAAGGCAAGGTGGCATTTTTGTAATAAAACCCAACTTTTTTAGGGTGCAACTCATTGAACGTTAATGTGCAACTGCTATTTTATGGCTGAATAATATGCACTACTTTGAACCTCAATATGCAATACAAAGAACGTTAAGGTGCATCGTACAAATATTTGCACAATAAGCACAGTTTGTACTTGATCTTTCCCCTATATATATATATATATTTGCACAATAAATTTGCGGTCAAAAATGGTGAAGTGGTTATTTTTGAAGTCAAAAAATCTCAGCTACACAAGATTCAATTCAAAATTGACCTTGTTCCTCAAATCATTCGCTTTATGTCTCAACTCACAAGTTCTGCATCAAAATTGGCACGGAGTAAACGATTTGGAGATATTACAGTTTCTTTGGAAACTAACAGATCAGGCGACTATGTGAAATTAGCTAAAAATCATGGGAGCTCCGCTCAAATTCCGGTGGGACCGAAAAAATCGAGCTTGTTTAAATTCATCAATATTTTTTCTAATTTTGCAGGGCCACCAGAGTCTGTGCAGGACGACTCAATCTCTTTGCAATACAGGAGCACCTATGAAATCGAGGACAACACATCGATCTCTAAACTGATTCTAAATTATCAAATCCAAGCGGCTAGTATCGAGAATCAACTGGTTTTCACTCCCATGAAACAACTACCACGGATCGAGGCTTACTCAGATGCCTCAGATGGTTTTGACCATTCTGATGACTCTTTCTTTAGAGATGACTTTCTTGGACACGCAACTGAAAGCGATCGTCGTCTTCCGATCTCCTACCCGGAAGAAATTAGAAATTCCAAACTCAACAGGGCTATTTGCCGCAAAGCAAAATTCGTCACATCGGAAAATTGTCTGCCAACAGACAACTTAAACACACAACTCAAAATTTACAGAAAAACGCAAAAGAACAAAAGGCGTCACAGCATGACGACTAGATCACAATCCAGAGATTTTCCTTGGGACTAGTTTTATGTTTTCCTTTATTTTACTTTTTCTCTGTACTGCTTTTCTTTTTATTCTCGCATTGTACTGTTTTTCTCTTATCAATAAAATAAAAAAAAAAAGTCGTAGAGAAAAAAAAAAAAAAAAAAAAAAAAAAAAAAAAAAAAAAAAAAAAAAAAAAAAAAAAAATATATATATATATATATATATATATATATAGATTTAGGTTCATGTGAGAACTAAATCTTAGGAGAGTAAAAAAGAATCAATAGGAGCCCTTAGATTTGATTTTTTATTTAGTTTATTATTTAATTTAACTAGGGGTTTTGGGGTCTTTTTCACTTCTTTCCATCCATGTTCCCTAACCTTCCGCCACTCAATCGGTTAATTGATTGTAACGTAACAAATTTCCCAAAAACCTCTTTCACCATTCTTCATCTCTTGTTCCGCAATAGCTACTTCGTTCTTCTTTGCAGATCATGTCTCTCGTTCATCTTCATCGGCCGTCTCTCTTCGAGGTCTCTTTTAAATTTCTCATTTTTATCGGTCATTGATCCTTTGTCTCTACTCCGTCTCTCCTCTGAATCTGTCACCACCACGAATTATTGCAAGTATATTTTAATCTCATTTAGTTTTCAATTCTAAATTATATCGTCATCTCCACTTGGATGGCTTTTTGTTTATTTAGTATGAATTTTTATTCAATATTCTCAATTAAGTATTTTCGATGTAATTAATTATACTATATCTGTTTGATTCTATTGTTAAATTGATCTTACATATAAATCTAGTTATTAATAATTTACTTTTTAGATTTGATTGTTCTATTCTTCTATGCCTAGTGGTGCAATTTGTGTCTTGTGATGCATCTGTATTCGTGATTATGTTGTTTGAGTGGTTCTCTCTTATTGTGTTGCTAATTCAATGACATACTAGTGCACTTGTATTTTGATTTTCATGCATTGCGTTTGGTATTTGCTTCACTTTTTGATGACTACTTTTCTTCATTGAATAACTTAATCTTGTAGAAGTATCTTACTACGTATATCATTTCGATGCAATTATATATGACTATTATTGCACTTATCGTACTTTGGTAATGCACTTTCATTAGTTTTATTTTTTGTGTGGATGCGATGCAGTGTCAATGGAACAATTATGATCCATTATATTTGAGAGAGCTGAGAAAATGTGTTGGATTCTGTAAAAAAGTCAACGTAAAATAGCAGAAAATTTGATGCAATAGTGTATATAGGGGCGGGTTCAAGTAAAAATTAGTCTTCCCACGAAAAGTGAGAATAAATCTTGACCTTCCATCACTTGAAAATGGATGGATTAGAAGAACTTTATACACACGAGATGATTTCAAAAAATGTGAAAACGTTTATACTATAAAGTGGATAGTTACTGATTAAAAGTGCACTCATGTGTGTAAAAAAAGACTGTCAAAATATTCCAGCTTGTGCACATTTTATTTTATACCGTATTGCATTTTTGTGCTCTATATGTGCACTTTTTTACTATTCTAATGCACATTTGTCACAAATTTTTTAATAAAAGTTCTTCATAACTACAAAAATGTCACCGCGTTTCCAACTTAAAAGTTTTTC